CCTAGGTGATCTTGAAGGTCCCTTCCAACCCAACCCGTCCCATGATTCTAACAAGGTAAAGGCAGATCAGGTGTGTGTGGGGGGGGGCAGGCAGCATTCCCCTGCCCACACAGCTTGGGCTGCCCACCTTGGGGGGGGGTTTGTCCCCTTCAGCACTGATCATTCCCACCCTTGGAGCTCTACTGGTAGCACCTCATAACCTCCTCATGTTGCTTCAGAGGGATCAGCAGCCCCGTGGGGCTGGGGTGCTGCCCTGGGAGCCTCTGGGCAGGATTAGTCCCCAGCAGCCCTGGGCTGAGCTCCCTCCCTCCATTTCAGCTCCCTGGAAGGTTGAAAACAGGGTGACATGGGAGCTGGAGGAGGGACAAGAGGCACCCAAAGCCCCCCAGAAGGCAAGTGTTGGGCTTAAATGTCTCTGAGAAGGGAGCACTGGGGGCTGTGGGGCTTGTGCTGCTCAGAAAACCAGCAGGGAGGAGGGGGGATGTGATTCCCAAGCCCTTCCCATCAACTGGGAGCTGCTGGGACAGGTGGTGTTTACTGGTGTTTACTCTTTTGTCCCTTGGTTACGGGCACCTTTTCCACACCCTGGGTGTGACGCCCGGGCCGGATTTCCCGGTGCCTCCCAGTGCTGGAGTGGCTGCTTTCCCCCCCCAAAAAAAGCCCCTGGCAGGGGGTGTCAGGGGGACACCCCCTTTCTGCTCAGGAGCTGGGATGTGCTCTGGGGTCTGGGCCAACTTCCAGGGACAGGGGCTCAGCCCAGAGCAGGGGAAAGGGAAGCACCAAATGGGGAACGACTCTTCCCAGTGGAATTTCCCATTTTTGCCCCAAATTCTCCTTCCCCCCCCCCCCAACCTATTGGACAAAAACTCTTCCCCAGTCCAACTCCTCCCTTGCACAACTCCACGCCTCTCAACAAGCAGGAAACAATTCATTCCACAGAAACCCAGAGGCTTTTCCCAGCCCTGGGAGCAGAGGGCAGGGAACTTGCTGCTTTCTCCTCGGGTTTGACCCTCCCAGTTGCATTTCACAAGCTCCTCTTTGTGCTCCCTTGACAATCAAACTGGGCAGCGCCTGGGGGGGGGGGGGGGGGGTTATTTCCCCCTTTTCCAAGGGCAGATCCTCCAGGGGGTCGTGGCTGGGCCCTCCCTCCTGGCTGCAAGGGGGGGTTTGGGGGGTGTTGTGTGTCTGGCTGCTGCCTGTGTGTGTGTTTGCAGCCAGGGCTGGGGCCCTGTTTGCAGACAGCCCATCTGTGCTGCCATATGTTTGTCACCAAGATGTGCCACTGTCACATGCACCGAGGAGGCATCTCTGAGACTGTCACCCTGTGCACCCCCCGCCCTGGCTGGGAAAGACCCTTCCCAGTCCCCTTGGCACCAGGTTCAGAGCATCCCAGGACAGTGGTTGTGGTGAGGAGAGCAAGAAGCCCCCTGAGAGGATGGGCCTGAGGTACCTTTGTACCTTCTGGCCACCATCACCCACCAGCAGGCTCTGGTTGCATTTAAGAGCAAGACACAGATGGTGCTGGGGTTGTCCTCACTTCTCCCTGTCTCCTTAGAGAACTGCAGCCCCATCTGCTGCTGAAGGGATTGGTTCACTCTTGCATGAGAGAAAGGGAAGTGGATAAAAATCTGTTTATCTGTATGTTTGTTTGTTTGTTTTCCCAAGGAAGGTGATGGATATTCCCATCTCCTCATGGACCACGGGTGAAATCTGGTCTGTTGTCCATGCTGTGCTGCTGCCTCCCTCCTGGCCCAGGATCCAGGAGTGGTCCCAGGTATGGGTGCAGCCCTGGAGAAAAGGCAGAGGGATTCATGTGGCCGGGAAAAGATGTGTCTGGATGGCTCTTAACTGGCAGTGACCTTGCACTGCTGGCCCTGCCCGTGGAGCACAGACACATCCCTGTGTCCCCGTGGGGGTTTCAGACCCCACAGCATGTGGGACTCCCTGAAATCACCCAGAAGGACAGAGTTTCAAAGGTCTGTGGGCTTCTCCACATATAGTAGGGGGGGATTTGGTGGGATCTTGTCTGGATAAAGTGTCTGGGATTAGGAGGAATGTGCCATCTGGGCCAACCTCCAAGCTGGCTGAGGCTGTTGTAGGAATGAGGTCCAAGGGTGGCAGAAGTCAGTGCAGTCACCAGCTTTTTATTCTGCTTTTTCATGCAATACATCAGCGTGAAGAAGAAAGAGACACCCCCCCCCAGACCCCACCACCCACCACCATTACCCTCAGGTGGAACCACTGAAGAGCCACTCAACTGCTTCAAAGCCTCCGTGAAGCTGGAGCTGGGATTCTTCTCAGCTCTTGGGGGAGCAGGAAGGTGTAACCAACAGCTCTGAGTCTAGAAAAGTGGGGTTTGGGTTTGTTGTTGGGTTTTGCTTGGGTTTTGGCTTTTTTGGTTGTTGTTTTTTTTCTCCCAGCCTCAAGGGAGGCCCCCAGAAGGAGAGTGATAGAGCTACTGGGTTTGTTCATATTTTTGGTGAGAGGGCAGTGATGGGGCCAGTTCATGGTCACACCTCAGGGTAGAGGAGGTGACAGGGACATAAAGGACAGAGACACCCAAGGAATCCAATTAGAGCCCAAAAGCAGCTCCACACCGTGTGAAGGTAGGCAGACAGGAAAGCAGAAGCTGCAGACCCTGGGGTGGCTCTCTCAGCTGTGGAGGACTTGGGAGGTGGGAAAATCCCCAAACCCCTCAGACACCCTGACTGAGCCCCCCCTTTACCCTTTTGTGGTGAACACTTCTGTGCCACCACACAGGAACATCCTATGCTGAGAGCAGAGAGCAGCAGAGATCCCCAGAAAGACTTGGAGAAGCCCCAGCAGCTCCATGGAGAGGACTTGCCCTCAAGGTGCCTTGGTGTCCTCCCCAGCAGGACGTCTCAGGGCCTTCTGTGAGCCTGGGGTGCTGGAGGGACCCTGGGAAAGATGTGGCTCCTCCTCCCATTGAGGTCGGGCATCGCTCACATCCCCAGGGCTCCTCTTGCTCTTCTCCTGCCGTGGCTGGTGGGTCTTCTCCAGGGGTTGATGCTCCTCATCCTCATGGCAGTGGTTGGCTTCATCTCTCCGGGGTGGCTGGGCACGGCTGGCTTTGGTGGCACCAGCTTCCCCTGGAGCCTGGGGCAGAGGTGTTTGGGGGGTGTTGTGTGTCTGGCTGCTGCCTGTGTGTGTGTTTGCAGCCAGGGCTGGGGCCCTGTTTGCAGACAGCCCATCTGTGCTGCCATATGTTTGTCACCAAGATGTGCCACTGTCACATGCACCGAGGAGGCATCTCTGAGACTGTCACCCTGTGCACCCCCCGCCCTGGCTGGGAAAGACCCTTCCCAGTCCCCTTGGCACCAGGTTCAGAGCATCCCAGGACAGTGGTTGTGGTGAGGAGAGCAAGAAGCCCCCTGAGAGGATGGGCCTGAGGTACCTTTGTACCTTCTGGCCACCATCACCCACCAGCAGGCTCTGGTTGCATTTAAGAGCAAGACACAGATGGTGCTGGGGTTGTCCTCACTTCTCCCTGTCTCCTTAGAGAACTGCAGCCCCATCTGCTGCTGAAGGGATTGGTTCACTCTTGCATGAGAGAAAGGGAAGTGGATAAAAATCTGTTTATCTGTATGTTTGTTTGTTTGTTTTCCCAAGGAAGGTGATGGATATTCCCATCTCCTCATGGACCACGGGTGAAATCTGGTCTGTTGTCCATGCTGTGCTGCTGCCTCCCTCCTGGCCCAGGATCCAGGAGTGGTCCCAGGTATGGGTGCAGCCCTGGAGAAAAGGCAGAGGGATTCATGTGGCCGGGAAAAGATGTGTCTGGATGGCTCTTAACTGGCAGTGACCTTGCACTGCTGGCCCTGCCCGTGGAGCACAGACACATCCCTGTGTCCCCGTGGGGGTTTCAGACCCCACAGCATGTGGGACTCCCTGAAATCACCCAGAAGGACAGAGTTTCAAAGGTCTGTGGGCTTCTCCACATATAGTAGGGGGGGATTTGGTGGGATCTTGTCTGGATAAAGTGTCTGGGATTAGGAGGAATGTGCCATCTGGGCCAACCTCCAAGCTGGCTGAGGCTGTTGTAGGAATGAGGTCCAAGGGTGGCAGGAGTCAGTGCAGTCACCAGCTTTTTATTCTGCTTTTTCATGCAATACATCAACGTGAAGAAGAAAGAGACACCCCCCCCCCAGACCCCACCACCCACCACCATTACCCTCAGGTGGAACCACTGAAGAGCCACTCAACTGCTTCAAAGCCTCCGTGAAGCTGGAGCTGGGATTCTTCTCAGCTCTTGGGGGAGCAGGAAGGTGTAACCAACAGCTCTGAGTCTAGAAAAGTGGGGTTTGGGTTTGTTGTTGGGTTTTGCTTGGGTTTTGGCTTTTTTGGTTGTTGTTTTTTTTCTCCCAGCCTCAAGGGAGGCCCCCAGAAGGAGAGTGATAGAGCTACTGGGTTTGTTCCTATTTTTGGTGAGAGGGCAGTGATGGGGCCAGTTCATGGTCACACCTCAGGGTAGAAGAGGTGACAGGGACATAAAGGAAAGAGACACCCAAGGAATCCAATTAGAGCCCAAAAGCAGCTCCACACCGTGTGAAGGTGGGCAGACAGGAAAGCAGAAGCTGCAGACCCTGGGGTGGCTCTCTCAGCTGTGGAGGACTTGGGAGGTGGGAAAATCCCCAAACCCCTCAGACACCCTGACTGAGCCCCCCCTTTACCCTTTTGTGGTGAACACTTCTGTGCCACCACACAGGAACATCCTATGCTGAGAGCAGAGAGCAGCAGAGATCCCCAGAAAGACTTGGAGAAGCCCCAGCAGCTCCATGGAGAGGACTTGCCCTCAAGGTGCCTTGGTGTCCTCCCCAGCAGGACGTCTCAGGGCCTTCTGTGAGCCTAGGGTGCTGGAGGGACCCTGGGAAAGATGTGGCTCCTCCTCCCATTGAGGTCGGGCATCGCTCACATCCCCAGGGCTCCTCTTGCTCTTCTCCTGCCGTGGCTGGTGGGTCTTCTCCAGGGGTTGATGCTCCTCATCCTCATGGCAGTGGTTGGCTTCATCTCTCCGGGGTGGCTGGGCACGGCTGGCTTTGGTGGCACCAGCTTCCCCTGGAGCCTGGGGCAGAGGTGGGCAGCTCTTGGCCTCCCTGTCCTCACGGTCCCACACCTGGGTGGATTCAGGCTCCTGTTGAACCTGCTCCCTCGTAGCTTTGGATCCGTCTCTCCGGGGATGATGCTCCTTCTCTGTGTCAGGCATCTTGGGGCTGTCCCTCCTGCCCTCCTTGGTCTTGGCCTGGTAATGGTCACCCTTAGCAGCATCAGGGTCAGGAGCAAAAGCCTGGCCAGATCCTTCCTTCACCCCTGTGTCAGACCTCTCCTGTGCCTCACTGAGCTCCTCTGTGTTCTCTTGGGACACAGAAGCTGAGGTGCCTCCTCGCCGTGGCGGTTCAAGCTCCCCTGTTTCTCGCTCATCCCTTTGGGATCGTGGCTCTGGGTCATTGCTCCTGTCCTCTGGGACTGCTGGCGCCTGCCGTGACACGTAGCACTTCTTCACATAGACAGGCTGGCCAAGGTCATGGGGCTGCTTGCAGATGATCTCGTAGGTGGTGGCTTCAGGATCGTCCAAATTCTGAATCACGTGGACCAGGTACGCGATGCTCTGAGGGTCACAGGCCCGAGGAACCACCTGCACCTCTGGCCGCACGTCGGGCTCAGTGGGGAGGTAATGGACCCTCATGTCAGTGACAGATGCCTGTTCTCCTGGGGGACAGAGGTCTCTGTTGTCCACCTCAACCGTTTGGTAGAGGCTCCTCTCATGTCTTTGTGCTTCCTCCTCATCTCTCTGGAACCTGCTTGACTCACGTAATCCTTCCTCTTGCACAAGCCTGTCATTCCTCCCATCTTCCTCTTCCAAAGTTTCGCAGGAAATGCTTTCACACACCTCAAGCTCTACTTCATTTGCCTCATGACCAGTGAGAATCTCGCCCTCTTCTTCTTCTTCAACTATCTGAAGGATGGATATCTCAGATCTCTCTCTGTGGGATCTACGAGCCCCCGGCTCTTCCCTGACTCGTGTCTCACGGCTGCGGCGCTCATAGACCTCGAGGTCCAGGTCCCTTTCCCGCTGGATCTTCCTCTCCCTCATGGGCTCTTCAGTCCCCTCTTCACAGGGGATTCTTCTCACGTCCTCCAGATCTTCTCTTACACAGGATCGATCCCTCCTTTCAGGCTGTGCTCGTGGCTCCAGGTCTCGGGACACACGTTTGCTGTCTAGATCAGCTTCTGCTGCCACCACCCTGGTGTCTCGTGTCCTTTCAGTCCTGGCCCCCCGCCCTTCCCTGA